TTCTCGTTGGGGGGGGGGGGGGGGGGGGGGGTATCTTACATCTCAACTTTCTCCGAGCGATTTAAACAGATCCTTTACGATATTGACATGAGATTATCTTATGTCGGACTTGATAAACTTCATAGTTTCGTCAAGGTCCATAAAGACTCAATTCCGAAAGATACAATAACTTAATATATAAAATTTTGTACAAAGATTGCGATGCGTCTTACGTCGAACGAACTTGTAGACAGTTAAAGAAACGAATTTTCGAACATCGGAACCACATCTGTAGAAATATATCACAACTCTCGGTCATAACAAATCACATTCTTGAGACCAATCATAAATTTGACTCGGATGGAATCGAAATTTTAGACAATGAAATTTTGCTCGATAAGAAGCTTGTCACCGAAATGTTGTTCATTAAGAAGCAAAAGAATGGCCTGAACCTGCAAAGAAATACGGAAGGCTTACCCCACGCATTTGCGTAACAATAATGGAGAACTTGCCAAAAATTAAAAAAAGATTAAATCTATGGAATTCATCCTCTTCCCATTGTTTTTATTTATAGAATCTTTACGTATCAACCTCATCATTACATTATCACATAATTACATTATTTAATCACTATTAACGTAGTTAGTAGGTTTGGACCACCGACGGATACATATCTGACGATGACGTGGTCGGCTAATTTGCACAGACTACTGGGTTTTGGTGAGTCGTTCTGTTCGATTATCGATTTCAATTTGATTTTCGATTGTAACAACTAATATTGCGTAGATAAGAATTTAATTTTTACATATTTTGTGCTTCATAGAGGAAGCTTTGTTTTCGTGACAAAATATTTTTTTTATGCCAATGTGTTTAAAATGTTCCAAAACGTCGAAAAATCATATTTTTTTTAAATTTTTGTACGTATGTATGTATGTACGGAATGTACATTGTACAACCTCTAACTTCCGCAATTTTTGACATATCGGTCAAAATTTTTTAAAATGAATAGAATATCATTAAAGGATGGTTGGTATTGAATTTGATGAGAATTGGTGAAAGGATTCATCTTTTATAAAATTTTGAATTTTTTGAGAAATGTCTGTACACGCTGTAACTTTCGCAAATTTTGAGATATCGGATTAAATTTTTTTACATGAATAGAATGTTATTAAAGGATGGTTGGCATTAAATTTGGTGAGGATCGGTGAAAGTATTCATTTTGTATAAAGTTTTGAATTTTTTGAGAAATGTCTGTACACGCTGTAACTTTCGCAAATTTTGAGATATCTTTCTCTGAGGAAGCCAAAATTGAAAAACTCGTTTGCTTTAAAAAGCTTAAGCTTTGTGAGCGAAATAAAATGATGAGGAAGCAAATTTCTAATTTGCACAATTTTCATCTTGTTTATCTATGCTAAAAATGGATCAAACAATGGTTCAAAACATATTTAATGCATATTTGTCAATGAAATTAAACAACAAAGAAGTTGGCGCACTAATAACCGCGCCTCGGCTCTTATTTGCTAGTTTCCTCATTTAGTAAATTTATAATCAAATCAGCATTATGTCCTTTCTATTCTTTCCTTGAATGCATCTGCATGTATTGATTAATTGAGATGTGAAGGATCGATTCCTATTATATTTCAAGAATTTATCAAAAAAATGGGTATAACCTATTTTTTTGCATAAAATGTTTATATCTTACCTTAAGAGTAACGGCGTGTCAATATAAAAACGAACTCGGAAATATAACACAAAAGCTGGTCTTCCGCTGCTGTCTAAACCCTGAAAATAATACGTATATAGTAAGATTAACAATTAATAGTAAATCAAGCAATGATAAAAGTTGCATGCTATTCTGATAATGGCTATCATGCCATTAGAAATATATTGCAATTATAAATACGATATAAATTATTATATGCTTGTAATATATGTATATACATTTAGTAGGGTTGGATAGTAACTAGTTAAACAGTTAAAAGCTAAATTAAAAACAATTTAAAGAAATTAGGCTCTCGAGTGATATCACAAATTTCAAATAATCGCGGGCTAGTAAGAGCCAGAACGCAGATGGTAGTGCGTCAGTTTCATAGAAAAATAAGTTTTCTATAAAACTGATTATGTGCACAGGGCACGATATTTTTCTCGCCTTCGTCTCTCCAGGGGGGTAAAGAAGGGTTAATATAAATCTCGAATTGAAATTAATTTTAGAAAAATCTTGGTATAGCACCAAGTAAATTTCGTGCCCTGTGCACGTAATCAGTTTCATAGAAAACTTATTTTTCTATGAAATTGACGCACTACTATCCGCGTTCTGACTCTTATTAATCCGCGATTATTTGAAATTTGTGATATCACTCGAGAGCCTAATTTCTTTAAATTGTTAGTTCACGCCGGCTGAAAGATGGCGTTATTAGTAATAGATATTTACATATAAGGCGAATGGGAAGTATCGGTGGTGTGGGGTCTGAATAGCTCAGAGGTGAAGGCAGTCGCCCGGCAAGCGAAACAGTCGGGTTCGATTTCCGATTCAGCGACTTTGCCCCGATATTTTTCTTGCCTTCGTCTCTCCAGGGGGGTAAAGAGGGGTTAATATAAATCTCGAATTGAGATTAATTTTAGAAAAATCTTGGTATAGCACCAAGTAAATTTCGTGCTGTAGAAAACTTATTTTTTTATGAAACTGACGCACTACCATCCGCGTTCTGGCTCTTACTAGCCCGCAATTATTTGAAATTTCTAAATTAAAAAGTTGAAAAGTTAATAAAGTTAATTAAATTAACTTTTAACTCTTAACTTAGTTAGTTAATTTTAAACATGTTAATTTTTAACTTAAACTAGTTATTTTTAAATGCATTAACGTTAACTTATTAACTTTTTTTATACAAGTTAAAATAGTTCATCAATATTAAAGTTGTGAGAAAATGGTTGATCATAATGCGCATATTTCATTTGTCATACAAGTTTGTCGGAAAAATGACGGACCATAATTAGGAAATGATACTTCTATTAAAATTTAATAAGTATTTCTAAATTGCTTTAATTTAGAGTGTCTAACAATTAAAAATAAAACGCACGTGTGCAGGTAGAGCGGATCAAATTAAACAAGAAAGTCCTCTACTATTTTGTAAATTTCACAATAGTTAATAAGGAATTAAATAAACAATATTAGTGAACATATGCCCATGATGCGGCGACATGATCTCTGCAAACAAAGTTTCATTCAAAATGACTTGAATCTGTTGATGATCCGGTAAAGGCAAACGATTCATGATGGTAGATATCGGAGTTGTGCAGTTAGCATTATGCACCGCTTGCTGTTGCCAACAAATCATCAACAAGTTCGAGCCATTTTGGATAAGACTTTGTGTACAGAGCTCGATCTCTCGCTTCCCGCGTACTCATTCGCTAATATTGTTTAATTAATTCCTTGATAATTATAGGGGAAAGTAAGGTAAAACCGGGTAGGCAGGTCAAATCGGGTACCTCTGTTTCTTCGTGATAAATGCTACTATCTTTGGCTAAATCGTGTTATTAGTTGTAGATTATCGCCAACATTATTTTGAGATGAACCGTTCACACGATATTTTTTTTTTTGAGAGAAGTTCCACATTTTCGGGCCAAAAAAGATCAATATCGGGGCAACAATCGAGTCGTTATGGACTTTTTCTACGTAGAGCATCTGCTTCGGTAAATGCAGCATTGCATTCTGTACATATTAGAGAGTATATCGCATTAGTTTTGATCGTCACTTTGTACGTCGGAATATACAGTCGTCGTGTTTGTTATTTTCTTCGTGTTGGTGCAAAACTGGGTACCTACACACCTCATGTAATGAAAAGAGGAAAAACTGTTATCTTGATTTTGTCTCCCTACAAAAAGCAGTTAGAAACGGGAACTACCACTCAGAAAAAGAAACCACTAAAAAAAGCTTTTTGAGACCCCTAAAGTTAAAAAGTTAAATAAGAAAATCTTGCAGCAATGTAGAATAAGAGGATATCTTTATTTATGATTTTTGTCAATAGAATACATCTTTGTATCGTATTTTGATTAAAATAAATCTTGATTTTATAATTAGACGGTGTTTTGCATACTTTAAATAGATACCCGGTTTTACCCTACCAGTAGGGCAAAACCGGATATTTTGACTTATCCAAAAAATCTTGTCATCCTTGGAAACCAAATATTTTTTTTCAGCAACTAATCCCCTACAATAAAAAATTAAATAATTTGTAGAATGATACAGAATTTTCCTGTTCAGTTTGAATCGCTCTATCTGCACACAAGTATTTTGTTTTCGATTGTTTTTAATTATTCTTAATTAACCGTTTTGTTTTTAAATACCCTATAATATCTGTATTAACTATATAACTATAGTATATTTAAATAATGTGTATTATTATATAAGGAAAGATACATTAAATCTCTTATAAAAGACTACATTTCTATTATATCACCTAATTTAAAATGTACAAATTAACTAATAAAGGCTCTTATGAATATATCATATGAAGGAAATAAAAGGCAATCAAAAGCCAGCGCGGTAATTCGTGCGCATATGTTTTATTACAATCAAATTATATTGATAGTTTGACTACGTCATAAACAAAATCACAGAAAGCGTACGTTTCGGTCCCTTTTTTGGACCATCCTCGGCGCAATTACAAAGTATATGGAATATATTATATCAAAAATGTGACAGTAATAATATGCAGAACAAGAGTGAGTCACCCATGTTGTCAGATGGTAAATGTTATATTTTGAGACAGAAAGAGATTGTCCGATAAAATATACTACATTAAAAAATAACTGGCAATATAATTATACCGAACTTGAATGAGCCACCCATGTTGTACAAAAGGCAAATGTTACACACAGATGTTCGAGACAGAATGTCAAGTCTTTTCATATCGCATAATATGCGCACAAATTACCTCGCTGGCTCTTGATTGCCTTTTATTTCCTTTGTATTAAAATGTACAATTAAAAGATTAATTATATAAAAAACATATTAAAACATATACAGTTTTGCATAATTAACTTTTAACTTTGATGAGTTAATAATTTTTTAACTTAACTTTAACTGACAAGGGGAACACCAGGTTATGTCCCTTTCGATTTCGCCGAGCTTGAGGTATATTATAATCCTACCCTCCCTCTAATTCATGGTAAAATAATACGACCCAACTCTCAAGTATTCGCAAAAAAACGCGTTCGAAAATTTGCGTTATCAATATGTATGGAACTGTAAGTACAGATTAGCAACTAATTGTAAACAGCGTGGCTTGGTGGATAAGACGCGCGGCTACTACGCTGCGTATTGCTGGTTCAACTCTTACTTTCCGAAAAAATTTTTTTTCCTGTCTGAACTGAAGCGGATTGTTGTGTTAGGTATTTTTATTATTTTAAGTGATAAATTATTATTATTAATTGTTTCAATTAAAAAATTTTATTTAAAAATTAATTTATTTATTTATTTGCTATGCGATAACAGTTATAATAAATATA